CAAATTGCAGGTAGCCTGCAGTACTACATTCTAACCTTTTCGCCACCAGGGCTCTACACAAATCTACCCAAAAAGCCTCTTTCTTAAGAAGACCACATTTGGAAAAAAGAATTCATATGTTTTTGAAAGTTGCCCTGAATTATATAAAAAAAGAAAAAGAACTTACATATGTATCTGTACAGTATATTTAAAATGTTTATATCAGATAATTTTTGTAGCAAATGATATTTGTGTATGATACATGTAAAATCAAATACATCTTATAGGATTTACATTGATCACTAAGTATGTTAGAAAAATGTATGTTATGTTTTAAAAAATTACAAATGAAAATAGCTGAGAATCTTTTTTATGGATCCTTTAAAAAAAACTACATAAAAACGGACTGGGATATTGCCTTTAATACAGAGTGTTACATTGTCTGGATTTATCTTGATCCCTGATAGCTAGCAACAACTTCAGAAAAGCAATTTCCATTTGGAATGTCCCATGAGGGGAAAAAATTAGTTGATTCCAGTCCACCCAACATCCTGATTTCATCTTTTACTAAGAAGAAGAACCAGAGAATTCTGGTCCATTGTGCCTCTTTAATTCTCTCCATAAACTGGTAACAGAGTCGATGAATTCCAGGACTTTATTTTAGCAGAAGGTTTCTCCTCTGAGGCAAGTTGTCTTTCACACTAGCATAACCACTGTGTCTAATCTTTTGACTGAAGAACCCTAGAGAAACTACCAGAGGTTCCTGGCATTTGCTAGCATAAGAACTACAAATTAAAAAAAAAAATTGCTTAGGGATAGGAAGAATGAGAGTGCATCAGCCTTCCAACTTAATTAGTCGTTGGCTTCCCTGCAGTGATCATCATAAAGTCCCAGCTGTGATGTACTTATGTGAGGAACTTCAAAATAAGCTACACGTGGCTTTGAATGGTACTGGCAATCTGGATGCATCGTTAGATTTGCTTGGCCGTTTTCAAAGACTCAGCACAACTCTTACAAGAATCATGTAAATACTCAGCATTGTATCATTGCCTTTTGTCATCTTTTATTTATTTTTTTCTCTTTTTAGCCTATCAGGTTATAGTAAGAGATGTTGCCAACTCTGAGGCAGGGTTCTGGATGAAACAGTCCTATTGCATAAACCTGTTCATTATCAATCTGTAAGAAAGTCCAGGAGTATCAAAGAAGGATTTGTTTGTACACTACAATAATCTTCCATATCATACTTAGCATGAAAAACTGCTATAAACTAAATCTGAGCAAGTGAATTGGGGTTATTGCCAGATCAGAAGCATAACAAAAGCATCATATTAAAAATGGCCTGTTGGACCGCATCAAAATATCTAGTTCTGTATTATTTTGCCAGAGCCTCAGTAGCTACACACAAACATACGTTATACATTGTTCTGATCATATTTCCTCACAGTTGATTTCATTAACTAGAAGTATATGTTGTCCAGTGGGAGTAAGATATAACCATACCAACTATCAATCATTGATATATTTTTGCTCTTTGAATCTGTCTAATCAAAATTTGAAATCTATCCAAGTTGATGACCATACATGTGGATTAGAAAAATGTAGTTATGTGGAATGCTTCTTTTTATCTGACTTGCTTTTTCGTATTATTCAGTTTTATCAGAAGATGCCATGTTGTGGCATTTTTCACCCAAGCATACAAAGTTTTAACCTCACTACTATTTAGAGTTAGACCAAGTGTGGTACAGTGGATAAGGCAGAAATGTGTATGGTTATAGTTTTTCTTGTTGGCCATGGTAAGTTGTGTTTGGATACAGATTCTGAAAAGTAGGTGCAGCCTGAACAAAGAATAGATCAGGCCAGGACAGAAGCTTCCACTGAAACTGAAGTTTAAAATGAAATAAAAATAAATGCAATTAATTACTTCCCATGTATATAAGAATATATTTATTTATGTTTAGGTATTCCATTTCTATAACCTCCCAACTCAACAAATTGACTCCTATCCCATCATATTAAAACCTGCAATTTAGTGGCAGCTTTTGGAAGAGTTATGAACTTAACAATAGCTTTATGCATTTTGTTGTGCATTGGACAAGAGCTAGGGAAACTAGGGAAATTACCTACTCAATACGTACCTAACTGGGAATTTAGTTTCCACAGTTACGTATGTATTTATCAGTAGTCTAGTCATTTTTTTCTCAACCCACCTACCTCATAGGATAATCATTCTTTTTTATAAAGTTTTTTTTATTTTTGAATAAACACAAACAGACAAAAAAAACACACACACACACA